CTATACCTACGGATGCATCCGTATGCAAACTGCACCCTAACATAAGAAAATTTCAAGGTGCACCTTACCTCTATGCCTACGGATGCATCCGTATGCAAACTGCACCCTAACATAAGAGCTTCATTGAAATTCAATTCAAGGCAACACTCTTCAGGTGGCTCCCATAAACCAAATCTCTCTTGGCTTGATCTTCATTACCTCTCCCATTTTGTGCAGATCATATCATAACTCTTGATAATCCCCAAAACTCCTCCATATTCATGGAGGAGCCTATTTTCTGGCACCGAGCCAAAACAAGAATACAAGAAAAGGAAATGTTTTTCTTATATTCTAAAAAATGGGGTTATATGTTTTATTTATATGGCCATCCAATTCCAAACCAAGCCTTGATAACGGCATAAAATAATGACATACGATTTGTGTTTATTTTTTGGGAAAGTATGAAGTGAGACCATTTACCTTTAATACAAGTTGGTCACATTAATCTTGACCCTTAAATGAGAAATTGGGTGGCTGCAATTATTCCATTGAACAGGCTCAAATTTCAAAAGAAATCTTCTTGAGCTTTGTGATACATCTAAGCTATCAAATTTCCTATTAAATGGTTGTAAGGAATTGTGATCACCTTACGTCAAAGGTAAATGGTCTCATTGTATATAGTCTCTTATTTTTTTGGATTGTATACTATAATACTGTTCACTTTTGATACAAAGAGGTTACAATCACTTTTATCCATCATATGTGAAATTTGAGAGATTGAAATGTATTACAACATTCAAAAAATATTATTTTATACTTTGTACCCAGCTAATGACATCGCCAACTATCTAATCAATCGTCAATAGCAATGATTTAAAAATCGGCGAGTCGCAACGGACTCGCTTGAGTCGGCACAGGAATCGGTTACCCCGTGTCGATTCCAGTGTAAAATCGAGAACCGCCAGTTCTAGAACGAATCGGCCTGTTCTGCCCAGTGAATCACTTGTATGACTTCATACACGAGTGAAAGTCCCCCGTATGATGTCACATGACGAGTCCGAGTCACATAACTCGTCATACACGGGTGAAAGTCGCTCGTATAACGTCACATGGCGAGTCTGAGTCACATAACACGTCATACAGAATCGCTTAGATGTTATACATGGGTGAAAGTCGCCCGTATGACATCACATGGCGAGTCCAAGTTACATAACGTATCATACAAAGGCGAAAGTCGCCCGTATAACATCACATGGCGAGACCGAGTCACATAACGCGTCATACACGGGGTCCGAGTCACATAACGCGTCATACACGGGTGAAAGCAAAATGTTGATTTTCCATGGCTCACACACGTGGAAGACTACCGTCACCTACCGAACGTGCGTGGATGGCAACCTCAGGGACACACGCGCAAACCTTAACGAACTTACAAAATAATTTATAGAGGCGAAACTAAACCTCGTTGTTGGATGTGGGATAATTCCTATGATGCATTAAATTACAATGGAATTTGGATAAGTATTATTAATGTAAAAACCAATTATATTTGTGTTGATGTGGTGGATTGGTTATCACTTCCACAATAAGCCTTTACGTCTCAAGTTCAATTCCACATGAAAACATTTTATTTTTGTTGACAATAAAAATTTTATTTTTTATTTTATTTTTGTTGACAATAAAAATAAGCAGAAAATAAATATTTTTTTATTTTTTTTTAAATCACTCTCTTTCTATTAACAATCTTATTTACAAATTCATTCTATAAATCTAAAAAATTATTATTATTTTTAAATAAATTTATTCTATTTGAAATCTCTCTCTTTCTATTAACAATCTCTTTTACTAAATTGATTCTAGAAATCTCAAAAATTAAAATTTTAAAATATTAAAGTGTTCTTTCGAAAATTGGTATGCATTCTAGTAATTCTAACCAATTTTTTATTTTATTTATTAATTTTTTCATTATAAATCATGTAATTTATTATCTTTCTTATGGTTCTCAATAATAAATTTTAAATTAGATCGTATTACAAAATATTTTAGATTTGTTATTATTTGTATAATAAAATAATTATAAAATTTAAACTAACAATTTTCATTTCAGCATATAACATTATAGTTAGTTAGGTTGTAATAAATTTGGATTATAGTTAGTTAGTTAGTAATAATTTGGGTATTTTTAGGGGATTAGAGCTTTCCGCCAATTTGAGATTTTGATGGCCATTTTTTATCGATTAAATCTACTCTTTATAATAGTCCATGTATGATTATATATTTTATCCATGATAATTATATGATTTTTATTATGTGTGATGTAAATTTAATGGTTTACATAAGTTTATACAGAGAAAAAACATATAAATATATACAAATTGATAAAAAAAGTGAAAATTAACAATGGAGTATCTTCATTTCTTATTGGATTCCTAAAAGACAACATTTATAATTAATTTTAACAATTTTTTTGGATTTTTTTAGAACTTAATCCAACCGAGTCGGCTGATTCTCGATCCGAATCGTTGATTCACCGATCCATATGGGTTTTTGAAGTGCCTGATCCGGAGCACAAATCCGTTTTTTAAATCACTAGTCAATAGTGATTGTGACCTCTTTACGCCGAAAGCAAGTGATCTTTCTTTTTATGTAATATTTTAGATTCCTAAACACTTGCGGATTAATTAGGTGTGGAGTGCTTATATTTGAATATACGTGGATGCATATGTCCAGCACACTATACCTAGCGCAAAGATAATTTTATTATGATCCTTATTTTTGGGATCTACTTTAGAAAACACATGAGTATTTTGAAAATAAACAAAGGATTTTGAATTCCTATGCGCTTAAATTTGGTAGTTGAAAGGTTGGACAGTCTCCAATCTGAAAGGGCATTATTTTTCCAAGCATATATTTAGTGCATACGAGACCTTCTTTTTTTTATTATTACGGATGAGGTTTGTATAAGGTGTAAACTTTAATAATCACTATAAGGTGTACCTCAAAATCTAATGTATTTTAGGCGTTGAAACTCTTATGATTGCCCTAAAATGTATTTTTACCCCGATTATGAAATTGGAAGCTCAAAAAATAGTACAGATCTAACAAATCTATGAATACTTAAATATCTTGAGAATAGATGATCTAGATAATGTGTTACAAGATTTACAATTACATTGACATGGAGATGAGCAATTTGAGCGTTTTCTAATACGGAAAAAGCCTTTTGCAATGAGTTTTGTGGTGCACCTTACTTGTAAAATATGATGTTGACACCTTATATGAACTTTTATTTATTTATTTATTTATTGAGGTTGGATGAAGAGGTGATGCTCTAAAGAAATTAGAGATTTAACTGATCATATTTCAAATAAGGTGGTTGTAAGAATGTCATTGATTAGACTCAAAATTTAAAAATAAATTAGAATTTCATAAAATGCCTCGAGCTATTAGACATCTAATTATTATAAATAATTGTGACCTCTTTGTACTAAAGATAAATAGTCTCATAATATACAATCCCTAATTTATAACTTTTTACATGTCCTTGACTAATTTGAGGAGTAAAAATAGTTCTGAATAGCCTTCACCCAAGGGAGTACCTATTCACCCAAGGGAGTAAATGTACATTGTACTCTAGCAATTATCGACGTTTGTCCATTTGCTCTCTCGGGTAAAATCTAATTTAAGACTTAATATATGACCCAAGTATTGGGGATGTAATTTAACATGTAGATTAGCTTTTCATGCCAACTTTTTATGCACCTGAAAAGGATAATGTCTCAAGATTAAATAGAGAGCATTCAATTTTTTGAGGCCATATCTAAGTGATAGAAATCTTAAAATTTAAAATTTATCTTTTAAAAATAATCTTGTGATTCTGCTTTTAGATTGAAAAAATGGTCCAAAATAGACCATCTTCTCGAGGGAGTTGGTGTATATTTTGCCAACAAGAGCATAATACAGTCTCCCATTACCGAAAGTCCAGCCCGAACCACGGAGAGAGAGAGTCTGCCTATTAAACGTGGGATGAGAGAGAGCCCCATTCTGTCAAACATGATATGAGAGAAAATCTTTTGAATACAAGCATGAGATGTGGAAAACGTTAGAGTGAGAGAGAGAAACCCAGGATGGTTTCAATTTAGATCATGCGGGTTTCGGTTTTGGCCGACTTTGGTGGTCTAATAGGGTTTTTTTTTTTTAAATATATAATGAGATTATTTACTTTTGATATAAGATAATCATAACTAATGTTGATTATTGGTTGTGAAATTAGATAAATACATTTATGTTATTGACCATACACAGATTTCAAACGAATTTTTTTCGAACTTTATAACACACCTAAGATGATAAATTTCGCAGTGGATGATTATAAATAATTGTGACCTATAAAAAAGGGAATGTTCTCATTGTATACATTCTTTTTCGGGAAATTATAAAAAAACCCTAAAATCAACTTTTTATACAACTTATCCCCCCTGCTAACTTTCAACTTTTTCCAAAAAAACAAGTTTTTTTATGTAAAAAACCCCCCAAGGGAAAAAATTTATTTTTCTGGACGAAAATGTCATTCTCATAGCACGTTGTCGGAGCGCCCTTAAACCATAACGGACCACTGTCACAGGGGCTCCGGCATGGCGTAAGAGCGATCCGACAATGTAACACCGCGCTCCGTTAGTACGTAAATACGCTCCGACATTGTAACACAGCGCTCTAGCAGTGGAGCATTCTGAGTCATAGGGCTCCGACACTGTTTACGTGCGTTCCGTAGTGTGATACGCGCTGCGGCACAGCATAAGTGTGTTCCGTCAATGTAACACAACGCTCCGGCACTGCATATGTGCGCTCTGGCAGTGGAGCATTCTAAGTCACAGGGCTTCGGCATTGTTTAAGTGCGTCCTTCAAATTAGTGGAGAGCGCATCTGCCGAAATCTTCGTATTAATTCGAGCCATTAGAGCATATCTCAATGGAGAAGCTCCAGTGGCTTGTGCCACCTGGTACGCTTGAACCCCAGCTTCCATTTTCCTGACAAGACCCCACATTGCCCTTCCGATCCCGATCTTGGCGAGCTCTTTGGGGATCCCCATGTCTTCATAATGGAAGAGCAGAACCTCAGAAGCTGTCAATTGTCCATCACCTTTTCTTGATTTCACTGGTCAGAGAATTAGAAGAGTAATGGAATTTAGGGGAAAGAAGATTATGAGGAGTAAAAAGATCACAATTAAATATACCTGCCCTTATTGGCCAGCTCGAGTAGTAGAGGTCAACCCCCCTCGGCTTTCTAAGTCTTGGTAATGAACGATACGGCGTGCTCTGAAACAATTGTGCACAAGTATCAGTAATTGATATTAAGTAAGACAGGCAATCAAGCATCTTTTGCTCCCCCAGAAGTATGTATCTTTCCTATTTTGGAAGTTATTCCAAATGGCCGCACATGAAAAGAGTCTGCGGTCTTTGGACATTAATATTCGAGTATTCTTCCACATGATTAAACCCAGTGGACACCTCCCCTATTTTAAGGATGGCATAAGCAATAAGGTTTATCTAGATAATCGGCTTGAACCTGTGTTTTCTCTAGAACTGAGCCTCACGCTCAAAACAAAAGCCATGGATCTCCCACCACCAACAATCCACAACCAATGCTTGAATTTTCATAATCAGATTGAGAAAGCAGAGAATTCCATCCATGCTCTACTTATAACCTTAACTGCTTGCACAGTCTCTTATCTAATTCACGAGTCATTGGTTAGGATTAGCACCGTCACGTCATTGAAGCAAAGAAAAAACATAATCCAAATACAATGAACATATTCCAAATACAATGAACCAGAGCAGTTCAGCATTTAGGATATAACTTCTTCCCCCACCCATCCAACCTTTTTCTTTTGGGCAGTTGTATTCATAATTTTTCCTTTTTTATATGAGTAATTTCTAGCTATGTATTTGGCTGCCATTCTCATTCTACAACCAGTGGTATACAAACACTGTTCTGTACATGGAAAGCTCGCAAAAAAGAAGACATGGTTGACGCCATTGAAGCACAACCTCACATAGGCTTCTAAACAACATAGAACATTAACTCACCAAAAGCCAATTTACATTGCAGTTGGTCCTTAAAGAAATCCAGAAACACTAAAAATCATACCTTTGTTAGACAATAGTATGTCCTTCCATATTCCCAGATTCGACGGTTTATAATGTATTCTCGGTCACTACAGAAAAAAGGAAACTGCAAAGAGGAAAAGGAAGAAAGTCTAAGAGAGAGATTATCGAAAGAAAACACAACAGAGCATACCCTAAAAATATATATTTCCAGCACAACTTTCTAATCCAATGGATGATCATGGTTCCTGTCTGAGGGCATTCTTGTAAAATCTTGAAGTAAAAAAGCATGTCATCCCACTCTGTTCGAAATTCGTCATCCCAAAAGAAATCTCGAATCAGCTCAGGTGTCACATTCTCTATGATTGTCCTTGACCGGTATTGCGTAGGGCCAAACTGAAGCACATAAAACAGCACACAAGCATGAAAAACCAAAATGAAACAATGAAATAATATGGAAAAGTGAACAATGGCACACAGACAATGACTGAAGAAAGTAATACGTTATCCATGGACACAAAAGAACTACTTCCTGAGATGTAAACTGGAAATATCATAAGTGATACAACTGAATTATCAGAAGAGAAAATAAGATAAATTTGAACAGTAAAAGAATGATTGAATGAAAGAGAGTGAAAATATTCTGTGACATCAGCAATCTGAAAAATTTTCAACTCAGTGAACTACATATAATAAGTTCTTTTAAGGTACAGCTCGATGTAATAAGTGTTAAGAAAATTTTAAAAACTTAAAACTAGGTATTCAATTCAACAGTACTGAATTATTAGAGACTTACATGTGATGGAATTATCAGATTTCATGTAAGAATACACATACACCATAGCACCCACCTACAATAAATACTATCTTATAGGCCATTATCTGGAAGTTCACATCATAACCCATTAACTAGTTTCATATTCTTATATACAAATTTATCATTATGACAATGTGATGGTCAACCCTTTGGCACCATAGGAACTTACACAAAGTAATAGATGAAATTACAGGCCCAACTGGTTAATATATAAGTAAAGATAAAACAAATCCAGGAATGCAACTCATTAGATTTTCCTTAAACTAATATGGCACAATAATTCCCAGCATCAAAACTAACGCTCATCCACAACTCCCTCAACAACCCAAGCTGCTAATATACTAGAAAAGTTGAGATTCCTCCTCCATTTCATATCCAATATCGTAAAACACCCTTTCAGCTAATAATTCTCCATCACACTCTCAGCTTCTCACCACACCAAAAAGTGGTCCTTTGCTAACTTATATACCACACTCACTTGGCAGTTGGCACTTTATTAATTACCAATGTCGGAAAATGCCAAGGCTGCATCGAGTCCTCAATACAATTAAAGAGAGGTAGGTAACTGGCAAATTGAGATATTTCACTTGAAGTGTATATTTCACTTGAAGTGGGCTCAGGCCAGCTGGGCCAGACCCCACTAGGACCAAGTACCTGGCTTGTCAAGCTGGCTCTGGCCTAGGACCTTGACCCAAACATGCCTGGACCCAGGGGCCTCAGCTCAATGGGGCATACAAGCCTGGCAAAATTTTCGACCATTGTCAGGTTTAAGCTGGTTGTGAAGCACCAATGGCATCAGCAAAACCCCACAATCCAGGGCGTGTTAGGTGTTAAACTGTGACCACTAATAAATGGGCATTCAAATGGATTGTGAGTTAATAAAGTCAGTAATGAGCTCCTTGATGATTAGACAGTGAGAGAAAAGGGATAAAAATAAGTAATCACGTCATTAGCAGCAAAAAGT